GGGGGGGCTCGCCGTTGTCGTTCATCCATGGCCGCAGCTCCTGTGAAAAGGAAGGAGAGGAGGGAAGAGAAGGAAAGGAGAGAGGAGACAAGATGTGTAGCTGACAGGTGGGACCCTGGTCCACATCAACAGGTCAAACATTGACTATGACTTGTCTTCGCCACATCAGGCTGGATAGATAGGTCCCACCCGTCAGTTTTACTATTAGACGCGCTCAATTTTGGATCAGTGCGATTTGTTATTCACTAGGCGCAGAAGTGGTGGTTTTTTATGATTTTTGGTAAAGATGATGGTTTTGGAGTATCCTAGCCACAAATGTGGTGGTTTTGAGCAATTTACTCCACACAAAGTAATGCAGAGGGAGAGTAACTGGATTAGGCCTTGGGGAACCTCAGCTGAGGGATCCATCAGCTGCGTCAGGGGAGGATTGTTAGGGTTTGATTAGGAGGGGGATATTAAGAAGAAAAGAAAAAGAAAAAAGGAACAAATTGTTGTAGATTAGATGGAGAAGGGCTAACCTCGGATCGGATCGCCGGGGCGGCAGGGTGCGGTCGCCGGGGACGGGGCGGTGGGTGAGGTCGCCGGCGGCTCCGGTCCGCGGCTGAGAGTGGAGACGGACTGTAGGAAGCACGGTTGCAGCAGCCTAGCCTGCCCTGAAACGTTGGCCCATCCAAGCCCAGCCCAATCTGTCAATCAATTAGAAAATTTCTTACTCTTGTCTAAAACAAGATAATCTTCTTACTCTTGCCACCCCTCAAAAAAAAGTCTTGCCTAAGAAAAACAATCTTCTTACACACACTAAGTACCCCCAAGAAAAAAATGCCTCACGAAAAACCACCGAGAATTTGTTTTGGAAAAAGACCGATGACTATCTGAAGGTCCCTGAAAAAAATCCAAGAGTCAGACCATTTTCTCCTCGACAGTGTCGTTACGGAAAACCATGGTTTTTTAGGAAAGACATTTTTATATGAGATAGTTTATTTTTTTTGTGAGATAATTTCATTTTTGAACACCATGGTTTTTAGGAAAATCATGATGTTTGGTAAAGCAAAAGCAAAAATATTTTCTTTCCAATTTTTTAATATTTTGTGATACATCCTTGTAATTCTGAAAAGAAAAATCATGCACATCCTTGTATTTCTAAATTTATGTTTTTTTTGTTTTGCTACACTCTCTCGTAATATATTTCAAGGCGTTGTTTTTACACAATTTATATTTCTCAAAATTACCCCTCCCCCTGTTTCTTTCAATTTTGTCAAATTTATAAAACCTATTTTTATTGTTGATTCACCAAATAACTTGACTTTCGGAACCATTCTTTAATTTCTTTATATCTGCCAAGCATGTTATAATGCTTCTTCCAGTTCATCTACCATCAACACAGCAAGTTCTTGTTTAGCTAACTACTTAACCAGTACAGAGTTTCAACTACTTCACTTAACTTCTTGTTTTCTGTGCAGTAATGAACTAATCGACCAATACACAGTAGTACTATGAGTGAACTGATTTTTTTTTCCTTTTTGCGATGGAGACTGAACTGAGCTACTCAACATATGCTCATGAACAAGAAAAAAAGTAATCCACAAGGTCAGGTCAAGTGCAGGACACAACATTGTGAGTGTGATTTCTATGTACTGCAAGCAAATGGAGCATAGAGCAAGGCCTGATTCAAAGGTTAAAATGTATAGAACTGAAACTGTGCACAACACTCTTTCGATTAAGAGCCAAGCCACAAAACTCTTTGAAGTTCAAACAAAAACTGACCACATTTTTATGATTTGCCTCCAAGAAAGAGCCAAGTCAGTCTCACCCGACTAGGCAAACATCTCCTCTGTGTGTCTCAACCTTGCAATCCAGAAACCCAATTAAAGTTTACAACAATGACAAGTTACCGGTGGCGAATATCAGTGTCAGATCAGAGGATACTTAAAACAAGAGAGGTGCTTAAGGGTCATGTAGCAACCCAACAATGAAGGTTAAACATTCTTAATTTCTTTCATTGAAGTATAGGCAACTGGGGCATATACAAGCATTGTCTGCCTCTGTTGCAAGTGGTGATGTCAGCAGCATTATCACAGTTAGTAGATCACTAGCAAGAATGCCAGAGCCTACTGCTCATTGTCCATCCAACTTGCTAGTACCTCACATCACAGAGCAAAGCATTAACCGGACGAACTCCACGAGTCACTAACCAGGCACGCAAATTGACTAATGTCAGCTGATCTTAGATACTAACTAGTAAGATGCCCGTGTGTTGCACGCAACACCGAAATGCATTGATCCGGGTCATCTCATGTTTAACAAATATCGATAGGTTTCTTCAGATATTCATTCTTCTCTAGAGCTCACAAGCATACGGGTGAATAGTAAATGTACGAAAATAGATTAAAAAAATATCTTTTGCAAACAAAAGCGTTCAAGTGTTCAACCTGCACCCAAAACTTCATGAAGAAATAACACTTATTGTGCTTTGCAAAAAATAATCTTCAAAAAATATTTTTTGAGTATTGATCTTGTTTATTTTTTCTAGACAGCTATGAATGTAACTCGGGATGACTTGGAAGGGGGCAGAGGAGATGGCGAGGAGGAGGGGGTCGTGGTGGTGGTCGGCAATGCGGCCCAAGCGAAGGCATGAGAGGCGTTGGGGGCAGACGACACCAAGAGCAGCGACCTCTCCAGATTCTTCTTATTTTGTCATGAGATGGCTAGATGAGGTGAGAGGCAGGGGGTTATCTACAAACGAGTAGTGGAGTGCGGAGGTCTTTTTGTAAAACTGACATAGTTTGTCTCAGATGCGTTGGATGTAAATCGAACGGTTGTAAATGAAGGATGGCAGGCACACCATCATCACCGACTCAGCTTTTTATAGGAGTAAGATATATCAGAGTTCAGATGATTAGACCCGATAGGTTCACGTCACAGTCCGTGGTACCTAAAAGTAGAACAACCTACAGACTACAGAGGAGACATCTCAGCATCGACCAAATCACATGCCACAGCATACATAGTACATAGATGATCCAACAGACTACATAGCAGGACAGTTTAAGCGTGAACCGCATCATACAAAATAGAAGAACTTCACTACACAACTGGCCATGTCTGCATCTCAGAAAAATAGAAGAACTTCCGTACGCCAACTAGCCATGGCTGCGTCTCAGCAACCCGAATTTAACTCTAAATACCTGCAAAACAAACAATGTCATCTCAGTAAGAACAAATTGGTAATGCTCTCTCAGAGAAAAGCCAAATTATGTATGATCCCTAACAATAAACATTAACTTTGCCATAGTGCAAATTATATGAAAAAGATCCAGAGCTGAATCATCCCAGCGCTGTTAGAAAAAGTGATACTACAAATGGAGAGCAGCAATAAGAGAGCATTTACTTTGTGTGCTACATAACTATGTACGATTGCAGTAGAACATAAAAGATCAGTTACAAGATGCCTATCGTCTGAGGCAAAAAGATGTCTGGGATCTCTACTCAAAGGCATGCCTTTTGGAAATCTAAGAATTGCCATGGCACCATCTTGTAAATTGGGAAAGCAGGAAAAAAAACATATACGGGAAGATAAAATTACCTAAATTGTTCGACCAAGATAGCATGTTAGCAGATCTGGTCCGATCACAATTAGTTCTAGATTCACCCCTTCCCGACCAACTGCCCTGCCTTGCTACAAGCAAAAGAAGCGCAAACCAAACAAAAATTGAAAGAAAAGTTGAGCCAAGGATAGTAAATGTTGCTGGGTCCAAAAAAGAATGGTTTGTTTACATGTTCAGAAAAAAATTCATTTATCCAGAATTATTTTCGAGCGAATTTGCACCAGTTATGACCATAATGCAAAAGTAAAATATGCACAGATTGGAAAATCTAAGTTCCAAAACAAGCATTACATGGTACTATGTGAAATTAATGAACTAGTACTACTCGATAAAAACTAGAGTACATGGTACTATGAATTGACGATAACTATCAAGATTGATCAAGATAAATTTTAATCTTACAAGGCAAAACAATGAATGAGAAAACTTAACAAGCTTTAAGCTTCTAGATGTACGAATTGGTTAACTATTTCACAGAGCAGATGGTTTCATTCCAATTGTTTGAGACCCTCTGATGACAAGATCATTGCAAGCACATAATCATAGTTAGGATTTAGCAATGGCCGGGCATCAAAGCAATAGTTATATTCCTGTTCTAGCTTTAATGTAGCCTAGTAATAATAAGAATTTAGATCACCATAAAATCACCAGACCAAAACAAAACAAGCAGCACAATGTATTTATATATATCCTTACTCAAAGGAACAATATTTACCGCAACCAAGTGCCTAAAGCAACTGCATTGAATCTGAGTGAAACATACTAATTGGGCTTTCTTATTTGTACAATGTAAACAGGGAGGTATTACCTGCAGTATAGAAATTTGTGTAGGGATAAAACGGGTCGTAACATATGTTGCTTCTTTTAACAATATGTTTGAGCTGCATTGAGTCAAGTTGGAGCGTGAAGTTGCCGGTCATTGAAGTGAGAACAATCACATTTGTGTCCTCATCATACCCGACGATACGTACAGAATTCATTCTCCTTGGAAACATCCCCTCCAGTGGAATGGTTTTCTTCAGCAACACCCATCCAACGACACCATCAGAGTTAGATTTCCTCTCCCACAATTGGATGGTCAAGTCCAACAAAACAGCAAGGCCAAGTCCACCACCCTCCATCCGTAAGATTTGAAAACACCCATCGGTAACATAGTAGAATGCCGGCTTCTCGATCACATCAAGGCTCTGACAGTCCAAATCAAACACAAGGATATCACCTCCAGAAATCAGCCAGCAAAGTGCATTACCAACCAGGATGCTGGGCCTTAACAGAGAAATTATACGTGATACCGCGGTCGAGAAAACACCTCCCCAAACACCAGACACCGAGTCATAGACAGAACAAAATGCCTGTGTATTGTATCCACCGCAGCAGAGCAAAACCAATTTAAACGGGCTCGAGAAGCAGTCTCCATGGACATGCCCATCTTCGGCATCAGCACACAACACTGCGGCACGCCACATACAGAAATTCCCCGTGAAGGTGTCATCGAGCCCGGGTGGAAAATCCACGCTGTGCTGTCGGCCAGTGAGGGGGTCCCACACGAAGGTCTTGCGATCCTGCTTGTTGACCAGGACAGCGAGGCCGTGGCGGCAGCCCATGTATTCTCGATGGTCGTTGTAGGGCGTGCTGCTCTTGGGCATGGAGAAGCAGGAGGCAGTGATACGGTCCGGCGAGTCCATGACGGGAGCAAAGCGGTTGGCATACCCTTCGAAGAAGCCGAGCAGAGGAGGCTTTCGGTGGTGCTTGCGGAAGCGTTTGAGGAACTCGGGGTCGGAGAGGATGCCACGCCAGCGCTTGCACACGACAGATGCGCGGGGGAGCGAGGACGGCTTCGGAGGGAGGCGGACGAGGATCTCGGCGAGGAGATTGTCGTTGCCGAGCACCTTGGACACGGCACGCCACTGCTTCCTACCGTACACACGCAGCGAGCTGGAAACGGGGTCGGCCCTAAGACGGAAATAAAATAAAATGTACTCAATCTTCTGGTTTCTCAAATTATCAACACACAAAGCAGACATATGTACATCCATTCATCCAGCACAGCATAAACAAAGTAAGTAGTGCACTGCGCAAAATGAAGGAACATCGGCGGGATCTTACCATTGGACTTGGGGAACCCCAGCAGGATCCATCGGCCCTCCTCTCTCTGCACTGCTGCAATCCAGAAATCCAACTAAAGTTAATAAGCATGGCAACAAGTTATCAATCACGAATATCCAGAAACCAAAATATGCAAGCGTATAAGCATCAAGCAGGAGATACTTTCCAAAACACTGAAAACATTCTTAGTTCCTTTGATTGAAGTAGGCGACTCGGGCTAGGCGCGTTCTCTACTAGGCAGCAAAACAGAGTATATATATACATACAAGCATCGCGTCCTTGGCTATCGGCGACGAATATCCAGACACCGAAACATGAAGCAGGAGGTACTTTTCAGATCAGATTACTAAAAAAAACACGAGAGACGCTAAAGGGTCATGTGGCAAGCAGCAGCAGCAAACCAACAATGAAAGGTTAAGACATCGTCGGCCTCTGCCGCAAGCCGCAATGCGAAAAGCATTAACCGGAGGCTAGATCACTAGCAAGACCAGACAAAGAAACTGCATAAAAGTGCCGGAGCCCACTGCTTCTTGACCATCCACCTCACGTCACAGAGCCAAGAATCAACCGAACCAACTCCAGGAGCCACTCATCAGGCACAAAAATTGAAGGAGGGGGAGGGCGTCGGCGGGATCTTACCCTCGGCCTTGGGGAGCCTCGGCGGCGGGGCCCGTCAGCAGCAGCCTCTCCTCGCTCTGCATTGCTGCTGCGGCAGGGGAGGAACGTTAGGGTTCGATGAGGAGGTGGGGAATCTGGCTGGCTAGGGTTTGGGGAAATCAAGATGAGGAGAAAAGGAATATCCGGATTAGATGGAGGAGGAGGGGTGGGCTAACCTCGATCGGGTCGCCGGGGACGGCGACGGCGACGGCGGCGGGGCGGCGGGGTGAGGTCGCCGGCGGCTCTGCTCCGCCCCTCCTGTCCGTCCGGCAGCTGCTGAGGGGAGTGGAGAGTGGGGACTGAGGAGTGAGGCAGGGGAGAGCCTTTTTTTTTTGAGATCCAGGGGAGAGCTGAGACTGTGAACTAAGGCTGCAGCCCAATCCAAGCCCAGCCCAATCTGCCGATTCGAAAAAAAGCCCTATCACCAATCTTCTTCCTTCTGCTAAAAAAAAAGAAAAACTTCTTCCAAACTACTGTAGCGCAAACATACACAAAAAACTCGCCGCTCTCGAGAAATCACACACGCGGCCTGAAATCAAACATAAACAAATTACTGACGGCTCATGCCTACAGACCAGCCAGATAATTTAACAGTCAATTCGCGAACAATGGCAAACATCAGGTCCGATTTTAGTTTTTGAAATTTCGCGCGCACTTTTCCATTTTGTGAAATCTATGGACAATTTTATGAAAGCAGAACATTTTTTAAATTTACATTTTTTTAAAACATGGGCGGTTTTTGAATGTGTGAACAATTTTTAAAATAGGTTTAGTAACATTATGAACAAAATTTTAAACCGTGATCATTTTTTGAAATTACCAAAAGCTTTTCTAAAATTGAACGAACTTTGAAAAACTTGAACATTTTTTAAAATCCTAACAAAATTATGAAACCGCAAATATTTATTGAATTCTTGGAGATCTGTTGGACAAACTTATAAAACCGCAAACGCACACCCCGCACGCCTCAGCCACTGTATGGACCGGCGCATCTGGGTTATTCCTCACTGGTTTTGGCAGTGTTCTAGAACCTTCCCTGCATCGGCGCACAGCACTGTGGCCTGCCGATATATCACCCAAGGGACGGAGCTGAACCCCGGCGGAAAGGCCACGCGGCGCTGTCGGACGGTGAGCGGATCCCACATCGCGATCACACGCCGCTGAACGTTGGCTAGGACGGCGAGGCCGTGGCGGCAGCCGAGCACGTCCCAACGGTCGTCGTCGTCGGGTCCAATGCTGCTGCTCCTAGGCACGGCGAAGCGCTCGGGAGGGATGCGGTCGAGCGGGTCCAGAGCGGGACTGAAGGCGCTGGCGCCCGGAGAGGATTCGGGGCCGAACAGGCCCAGGAGCGGGGGGTTCTGGTGGTGCTTGCGGAAGCGGCGGAGGAATTCGGGGCCGGAGACGATGCCGCGCCAGCGCTTGCATACGACTGACGCACGGGGGAGCGATGATGGATTCGGAGGGAGGCGGAGGAGGATCTCCTCCAGCAGGTCCTCGTCCTCCAGCGGCCGGCGGATCATACCTCGGTCTGGAGCTAGGGTTTCCTGACAGCGATGAGAGGAACGGAGCCGTCAACAAGTTTCCAGATTTAGATCGGGAGAGCAAGGATGTCGGAGGGAAGCAGCAAAGCTCAGGGTTGCTCACCGTTTCTCCGAGGGCCGGGCCGGAGCGCCGCCGTCGTCGGTCGCCTGGAGGAGCTAGGGCGAGGGAACTCGCCGGAGGTCGGGGGAGACGCGTCGTTCTTTTCTCTTTTTTTTCGAAAATAAGCGTTTAATTTTTTTCCAGCTAATTTTGAAAAAAAACTGAGATGTTTTGAGAAAAGTCAACTAGTTTTTGAAATATTTTCATGTAAAATTGAAAGAACTCTAAGATACTTTAGGATTTTTTTTTTGAACCGTAAGTTAATAACACATAGAAATAACGTTTCAACGATATGAGGACAAGCGAATCAACCTGTGGTTGAGTTGGTTAGGTGGACAGTAGTATCCCCAACCCACCAGGGTTCAAATCCCGATGCTCGCATTATTCCTGGATTTATTTCAGGATTTCCGGCGATACGCTTTCAGTGGGAGGAGACGTTCCCATCGTCGTGCTCATAGGGATAGGGTGTGCGTGTGTGCCTTCATAAGAGTGAGTGTATGCGCGTGTATATGAGTGCTTGTGTCTGTATTGATGCTAAAAAAACGATATGAGGACAAAAAACATCATTACCGGCTCTTGTATTTTCCTGAGGACTTGCTTTCCAAAAATTAGGGGAATGATCCTGCAAAATTTTTTTAGGGGAATGAACATGTCAACACAAAGCGCATGACCAGATACAAGTGAGGTTGGGTGACAAAACGACGGCTACCCGACTAACCGTAGATGCGCAACGATTGGTGGCGCTGATGTCAGGTGGAGAGGAAGAGTGGCCAAGATATGGATACTACTGTCGAAGAAGAAAGCAAGTGTGAAATAAAGTGATAAATAAATAAATAGTCTTTTCTTGCAATTGGTATCTATGCTTTACTTTTCTTTATCTCGGTAATCGGTGAAAAGGTATAACTTGCATCACAAAATGACAAAAAAAATCTTATAGTTCACTTTTTTAATTCGATTCACTTGTCGAAACTAAAGCTGATGAACCACTTCCTCCCCCTATCTAACCATCCCAAAAGGCACAAGCTCGACGACTATGGCTTAGGTCTCCTCTCAGCAACTCTCTTCGCGTCGTTGAGTTTATACTTCCAAGCGACCCCTCGTCGCCAGACCCCATCCAATCTTGCATCGCTACATCCCGTCGGTTGCCCTCTACTCCCTTGACTGGCCCCTCACTAGGTCTGGATCGATGTCGACGGTGTCTGATCCGCAATCTTATACCGACATCGGTTCCCAAGGGGGCACTTCAACAATCTTGGGTAACTTCTCTGAGAAGCTAGATCTCCACGATAAGGAATTTGATGATGTTAACATGGATGAAGAAGAACATGTTCTTCTGGAAGGTGTTCGTTGGCTCGTGCTAGATAGGGACAAACGACTAAGAACTTCCATCAATCAGCCTTCTACCATGAGGTGATGCCGGCTTCGAACCTTGCACAATTCTTCTACTTTAGGGCGATCAGATTCAACCTCTTTGTGGTGCAGGTCTTCTACTTAGGGGACTGAGAGCGAGTTGTGCTGCTGGGTCCATGGTTGTTTCCCTACTGTGTGGCCACTTCTTACGGTAAGTTTGGCCATTCCCCCGCGCGGGCTCTCTCCCCCATTCACTCGTCGACGCTACCCCTACCGCGCTCCTTGGTAACGCCACATTGCCGGTCGACACCCCGACATCCCTGCCGACCTCCAGGTGTTAAATTCCGGCGCAAATCTGACGATTTGGGTTTCTTTATTATTATTTTTCATCTTTTTCGTCGTCTTTGGCCATAGCGGTGCCCTCCTCGTCATCCCTAGGCCGGCGTCGCTCCTCCCATCGTTCCGAACCAGGAGCAAAGTTGCAACAAACTCGGAGGACACAAACATAGAGAAAAAAGTTCAGTGTACAAGAAGAAAACATACATGAAGAGTGGATGCATGTCACCATTGCCGATTCCGATGAATCCTTACGTTCCGGGCGATGCCATAACGTCACTGGGAGGAGAACCCATTCATATGAGGTAGCTCCCAAGCCATAGCCCGTGAAGGACGATTTTGAACTATTTGTTGACTACTTCACATGTTGACGGTGCACACCGCGACACTCATCAAATTACTTTCGTGAAACATCTATCGTAGGTACTAGCTAGCTCATGGAAGTCGTCTAATGCCGAAAAGTCGTAGTTGGCCACTTGAAAGGAAGAAGAAAGACGAAAAAAAAGAAAGATGAGAGGGAAAGAGGCTTTTATATGGGGTACAGTTTGTTTGAAGAGTTAAGTTTAGGACCCTGATAAATGTCACAGTGTGATACAAACACATATCAACTCCAAACGTTTTTTAGGGCAAGTTTAGTGACATGAGAATGACAAGTTTAGTTGTCAAGTATGACAACTTCTTTTTGGATGGCAAGTTTTTTTTTCGTTCTATTTTTTTCGGACGACAACTTTAATTGCAAAAAATGTCAGGGTCAGATTGCTTCATGCCATACATGTGGCGCTTATCACTTGGATAAGTCTAAGAGTTCAATTAGGTTTTTGTTTTTTTTATTTCCTCAAATATAAGAATTAAGATATAAGGGGCCGTTTGAGGGGCTAAATGGTAATAATCGGCCTAATCGTCTCTCCTCCCGCCGCTCTTGCATGTCTGAAGCATTCAAACTTGCGTGGTGCGTGCATGCATGGCCATGGCTAAAAACAGGAGCTCGATCGTCATGCGGCAGTGCACCAATGGCGCCGAGGCCGAGGCCGAGGCTTGCTCCCGACCTCTCCTCCATCTTCGTCTTCGCCGATCGATCAACCCCCTAGCTATTAATATTCCCACGCCTCGCGCTCGCCTCTCGATCGACCTTTCCTCTCCTCCTCCCTCGCCCTCGCTCCAGCAACCTTCTTCCTTCCTTCTTGGTTGATTGATCCATCAGCCCCCGGTCAGAGCTCGATCGCCGGCCGGCCGGAGCAGGCGCAGCAATGGGGTTCACGGCGCGACCCGCGGTGTGCATCGTCGGCGTCCTCCTCCTCGCCGCCGCCCTCCTGGCGGCGGCGGAGGGCGAGTGGGACGCGCCGGAGTCGTGCGCAACCCCGGTGAGCGTGGAGGCGGCGTGCCGGGGGGCCTCGGACACGCACCACGGCGTGGACTACGACCACTGCGTGCGGTCCCTGAACGCGGACGCGCGCAGCGCCGACGCCTCCGCGTCCGCCGGGATCCACGGCCTGGCGGTGCTGGCCACGAGGATCGCCGTGGACCACGCCGCCAGCACGGAGGCCAAGATCGAGGACCTGGCGGAGCTCGAGGCCGAGGCCGGCGCCGACCGCGCCCGGTTCGACCACTGCCTGGAGCAGTACGGCGGCGCCGCCGACCTGCTCCGCGACGCGCTGGACAACCTGCAGGCCAACGTGTACGGCCTCGCCATGCAGCAGCTCATGGCGGCGCTGGGCGCGTCCCGGAGCTGCGAGGACGCCTGGAGGGGCGCCCCGGCGCGCGCCGTCCCCGTCGCCGCCCACGACCGCGAGTACGAGCGCCTCGCCCACATCGCCATCGGCTTCACCCACGCCGCCGCCAAATGATCATGCATCGTCGCCGCCATGGACCGGATCGTCGTCAGTCGTCTTCTTCTTGCATGGATTGGATTGGATTTCATCGTCACCATCACTCATCGTTCATTATTGATTATTACCATTATTAATTATATATAATCAGGTGTAGTTGAACCCCATTTTCTTTTTCTTCTCTTCACATCTTCGATCGATTGTCCATAAAAGCAAATATTGTAGACCATGATTCACTCATCATCAGATAATAAATAAAGCAATTCTAATAACAAGATGGATTCACTCATCACCTCTGTTTTCTCTCTGTACAAAGATAAACTTGTGTACTGTGTATCTCATTCAATGTTTTGGTTACCAGTCGAAATTTCAAGATTTCCCATGGTTATCACATATTTCCGTGTCCCTCGATAAATCGCCATACCGAGCAAAAAATACTATTTTTAAAAAAAATTGAATTTAAATACTCGATTTACAGTAAAGTATGTAGGATCTAATTAATGCAATGAGAGTTGGTTATGGCATGTTGGTAGCAACCTAGTTTCTGTTCTGAGAGGTCTCTGTTTTGAATATTCATTCATTCACTTATTTGAATTCAAAATTCAACTATAAAATTCGCTCGAAATATTCTCGGTATTTGTCGGTATTTCTCGATAACCGTGGTAACCACATTTATCAGTCCCCCTCAGTTAAATTACCTCATTCGGTAACCAAAACCTTGATCTCATTCAGTGGGGAATTTTTTTTACTATTACTTCTGATTTGATTGGTGAAACCAGAATGTGTGTCGGCGCGCAGACCGTTATATGGATCATACTTCTTTGCAGGGAAAATCTTCAATGATTTAGTTCGTCGAAAAAACCCTGACCTCTAGAAACAAATCCTGGCAAAGAGATTCAGATGATTTGCCTTGAGAATATCTGAATTTGACAGGAAGAGTAGCATAACGGACTAGCCTTCGGTTTCAGTTGCAAGCCACAGCCTCAAACCTGCAACTCCGTCTTCCTCACACGCTTCACCAACCATTTCCTCCTTCAACTTGATTCCTCCACCCCTGTCTCTTCCTCCCTCTCTCTTCTCTTCCTCTCACTATATGTATAGCAGAAAACAATGTGGCCGCCACCCCCGAGTAGAGGCGGCGAAGCCAAGATGTCGTCGCTGCCTAGCTGCATCTTCCTCTTCTCCTCTGCCGCCCTCTTCTTCCTGCCGCACCCGGCGATGTCCTCCACCGCCGCCATCATCAGATTCCCTTACGGCGACGATATCATCGCCGAGACCTGCCAGAGATGCGGCGAGAACAACCATAACGTGGACTACGCCCTCTGCGTCGCTTCCCTCTCGGCAGACCCCTCCAGCCGCGACGCCAGCCTCCACGGGCTCGCCCTCATCTCGGCCAAGCTGGTGCAGGCAGGGGTGGAGGGCATGGACTCCGGCATTGCAGCACTCCGGGCCAAGGAGGCAACGGGGTCGACAAGGTGGTCCTGCCTCAACGCCTGCATGGACGTGTTCCGCGACGCCATGGCCGACCTCGACGACGCCATCGCCGCCATCGAGGACGGGAGGTTCACCGAAGCCAAGACGAAGATGACCGCCACCACCGACGCACCTGTGACCTGCAACGACGAGTTCAAGGAGCAGGGATTGCAGCCGCCCATGGAAGGGGAGAGTCGGCGCCTGTTCCAGCACGCCGTCATCTCCCTCGCCATCATCTCATTACTCTGAATAACAAGTTATTAAGCAAATGTCACTAGTACATATTGCTCTATTCAGCATACATTGCTCTATTCAAGTATGTAATGTGACTCTTTTATCATCTGTGTTGCAAGCGACAGAGGATTTATGCAGTATGTATACACATATCAAGATGCCTGTTACAGTCGTGGAAACAAACATGCCAATGTAACTGACATGTTACTTAATCTTCATATCAAGGCAGCTACAGAACTAATTTCGCATCTCAAATATATACAACAAAAAATGCCAAGAGCTCTCGGGTAAGCTTTTTTACACACATTCAGCCTTCATGAATCTTGCCAGACCGGATCACCTCGGACGCTCCAATCACCCTTCGAGATCAACGGTCCACAGTCGTGTTACAAGTCATTCTTTGGTTAATTTCAGGCGTGGTACAACGTTCATCGATTGCAGTTCCTGAAAAAGATGACCAGACGACACAATGAGATGGGGTTCACCATATACGACAGGACTCAAGCGTGCAGTAACACTGGTTCTAGAAATAATGTTTCAGAATCTAATAAGGTTTCAGAACTACTCCCACCGTAAAGAAATATAAGAGCGTATAGAGGTATGTATGGGCAACGAAAATTTCTGCAGGTAGATTTACAAATAAGGTTTTTCAGAGGTGCACAAGCAACTTAAAAGGAGATGAGGGTTATCGGAGCAACAAAAATTAGGCAAACGGTCCAGCTTCATGCCCTTAACTAGGAGAGGGTAAGTAAAATCCCAAGAAAACACTTCATAATGGTCACGAAAAGAACCATTCTCGCTTCCCTCTTCCGCAGTACCTGAAACAAAAGCTTGCAGGCATATGGCATGGTCACTTGGGCCATATTTTCCCCATTTCTGCAGAATGAACAAAATGATATCTTGAGTTTATGGTTGTAGTAGCCCAACAAACCGCATGTTCCGCAGACCTGGAGAACATGAGCAACCACAAATAAGACAGTCGACAATCTTTCAGAGTTCTCAGATGCAATTATTCTTTGCTTTTAATGCCAGATTAGCCAATCAACCATGAGTAAGACTATGGATGCAACAACACCAACAGCAATAGTATGCATACTTATGCTCCTTGCATGCTACCAGTGGTCAAGCCTACTTAATGTATCACAATCTACTTCAAAGATTACCTGCACTTTATATGGGTCACTGCATAGTAGGAGACGCTCAAATATTAGCATGCTGGCACCATGCGCAATTAAACAATCACGCTCCATCTCACCAACACGCAGGCCTATGAATAAAAATACATATTTTAAGATGAGGAGCAAAATTCTCAACAGGAACAGTAAGCTTCATACTCATTTAACCACGGCAGGGGCGGCCCCACCTTAATTCAAGGGTATTCAGTTGAATACCCATGATTTTTGCCAAAAAAAAACTAGGTATATGTTGTATAAATATTGTATATGTATAAGGAAAAACGAAACTGATACGCAACCCATGCAAGATGGGCATTTCAGCCCAAAAACAGAGGCTAGCCCACCCTCTGTTTTCCCTCAACAGCACGACTGCCCATTGGCCCAAATGGTTGTACCTCACAGCCCACACATGTCCATCATCGCCCTAAAAAACTGTCCATCAGGTGTAGGATAACCATCACCTCCCTTTCCCTGTTCGATCTCTTCGCACGCGAGCCGCCATGCGGCCAGAGCTGTTGCCATCGCCTGATCGGCGATCGCACGTGCGTGCGGCGGCGCGGACGGCGCAACAAATCCATTCCCCAACCCATTGATTCTGATCCCTGCAGTCTGCAACGGGCATCAGGCATAGATGCAATTTCAAATCACAACCCACAGATTCAAATATAATTGCTAATTAGATATATTAACCATTCGCCTTCTGAAACTGGGATTTCTCCTCTCATGCCGATTTTTATTTCTTAGTCGAACTGAATTCATTTCTCACTGCTGGCAAGGGCATGGTTTTCTTCTTGTACTGTCCAGCAGGCTACAGTACAAACATACAAAGACTAAGGGGCCGTTCGGAAACTCTCTGTTCCTAACTCCGCTGCGGGAGCGGAGCGGCATCTAGTGTATTGGGCGAGCAGCTAAATGGGCGCTTTGTCCGCTCTGCTCCCTTGCGAAGGAGCGGAGTATTACCGAACACGGCCTAAGTAAGTTAGTTTGATCACTTGTCTTCTATTTAATTATAATGAATTAGAGAGTTGTTTGCAATTAACTATGAATTGTTTAGATATGATAATTTGCAACTTTTCATTTGAATTTGTAATGTGAGAGCGTGTATAAATTTTGAATTTGTTACAATCAGCATAACCTATAAAGATTAGTCATTGAAAGGGAATTATGCTTGCAAGTTAAGGATGAAGAAATCATCGCTCATTTTCAAAACATCGTGGATTGCAAAATTTATCATTTCATTTGTAAGCTTTCTTATCATTTCCAATTTTCTATCCTCTATTTATCCTAAATTTTGCCATGCTATGCTGAAAAATTATTACTTCTATATGTTGGACAATTCCAATTTATGATTAATTTTTATAAGTATAATATATTACAAGATATCCTTTTTAATATATTTCAGAACTAGTAATATGTTGCTATAATGGTTATACACGCCAAAAGGAAGGTTATAGGCTTTCGAAAAAAAGTTTTTTAAAATTTGAATACACACTTCAATTCCTGGGCCCGCTCCTGAACCACGGCATATATAAAGGAAGATGTAAAACCTCCATTATGGCTTCGCCCTTCAGTAGGCTGCCTGGTTAGCGTAATTCGCGGTCCACTAGCTCGAGCATGCATCTTATCAAGAACCTGCAGAATTCATATACATGCGCTATTTAAAGAGCTATACAAGAAGTTACAAATGAGATCTCCTGCAAGCTGAAGGGCAGTAATATGACCCATTAGCTTGAATAGACCCACAAACTATATAGATTATGGAATTGCCAAGCATAGTTCAGGCCTGCTAACACCTTTAAGAAATAATTAATATATCATGCAATGTTCTGACCATGATGCACTAGAATGCTGTTACTGATCTACACTATAAACTATGAAACTTAGGCACTGTGTGCACCCTGGGGAATAGATCCAAGCTCATTTTGCAATATCCATAGCATCTCCTAAGAAGCAAAATAGAACGGAACAAAGAAAAGTATGTCTACCATGTGCTTCAGCTTCTGATAGTAGATTGGCCCCATGAAGATATATGTCTCAAGAGGATGGCCTAAAATGCCTGAAAATGGGGGAAACAATCAGTTCTTAGGAACCCTGGCAGGGCCAGGCGGCAGGTGTTGCACACTGATAGGAATTTGCATGATCAACTATCATGGTTTCCAGTTCAGTTAAATCTAGTCGACACAGAATTGGAGTAACATAAAAATATATAGTTCATCCGAACTTGGTATAAGAGACACACCTGAGTACAATAAATCTTTTCCATGATAGTTGAAGCCGTGCTTGACATGAATATAGCTAGTATGCAGTGGAGACAATGTTAAAGAATGATTGAAAAACTATTCAAGAAGAATAATCATGGCAACCAAAACAATGCTATTACCTCATGTCTTCAACTTTATCAGCATTACCACTTGGTTCACCAAATGCACTGCCATAATGAAATCGACCACACGACACACCAGCCTTCCCCCCAACAAGTTCAAGCATTTTGCCTATTGTCATACGACTAGTGAACAAACAAGGAGTCAGTCTGGCTTGAGAATACTTCCACACTAACCAGAAAAACAATATAGCTAAACAACAGTATCAAGCGAACATAATTTAATCATGTGATTGATATTAAGAATGCACATAACCAGTATATAACCCTCTTAAGGCCAGTGCATACGAGCTGGAAGACTGGATAATCCTTTGACATGTTTACAGCTTGTATCAATCAAGTGTCACAATCACCTAGAACAAGGAATAACTATGCAAATTGATTTATTTCTAGGTATCACAATAATAACTCCACAAGTCAAGATCCTGTCGCATGAGTATCTTCAACTTTGTTCTAGAATACACATTTAAATGCATGTCCTTTTGTATCAGAAGACAACACGTGCATGATGTCTCCAGGTAAACCCACAAACATGATGTCTGAATTGGTTTCCAAATTGAAGTAAGAAAAAAGTGTAATCTCGACAAAAGAAGAGTCAAGTTTTCGTATTAGTTACATAAGACATGAACAGAAAAAACCCAACTAAAAGAAATCAACACAAAAGGAACTGGGTATACAATATAACCAAGCCAATATATAACCTTGGAAATCCATGGGGATTCATAATTAAGTCAGGGCATATTCCTCTCTCAGAGAAGGGGAAGTCTTCCTGCTGAATAATGGTACCACAAACACCTTTCTGTCCATGTCTGCTACTAAATTTGTCACCGACCTGGGTCACAAACAGGAAAGCAAAATTTATATTCATCGTTCCATACATGAAATTGAAGGGATTCAGCGAATAGGTCCTACCTCTGGCCTCCTAGTGTGTCTGATCATACATTTAATGGTCAATTGGTCATTTGTATCTGATGAAAGTATTACACGATCTACTACAGTAGTTTCGTCATCATCACCTCGGTAAACAGCAGGTGAGTCCTTGTAATCCCTGGGTGAATAATGTTTGAAGCGACTGAGAACATATAACATTCTTGAACAGCAAAACTTTGGAGCCAAAAAATAGATGGAGCATGCTAAAAGAAGCACAAAAAACTAACAATTGTCACCTGTCTGTTAATCTAACGGCAGGACTGTTTGCAGTATCATCGGGGATAATCTTGGGAGTTTTCTTATTCACATAGATGTCATGATTGCGGATTATTTGACCTGGTGCCGCAAATCCATCTTCATCCAATGCCTGTCACAAAACCCTGGCTTTTAGGAACTGTAGTGAAAAATGTATACCGAGTAGACAGATTAGAGGATGCGAATAATTTTAGCCAGTTTGGGCCTGGCAAGCCCCTATCAACCAGATCATCCATTACAAATGCGTACATAGAATAATAAAAAAGACAGACAAA